TACCAAACAGTTCTTAAATTCGAACGCAAATATAATCATAAAATGGATTCGAGCTCGTTTAACGTGACGCGACTTATTGATAAGGAAGAGCCGAATTGAACATTCAAACGGTCATGGAATAGCCTCTCGTCGCTTCGTAACTGATAATAAATAATACTTCGACATACGTACGATACGATCATTATTCGAATCGACACAGCTACGCAATGGCCATTAAAATAAACGGTTTTTCGTCATTGCTGACGGCACAGGTGTTGATGAAACTCAACAGTAAGATTTACAGTTACCGAGCTATTTCTATTTTCATTATTATTATTTGCAGTTTTTACATATCAGGCGCTTACATTTGTTTAACACACAAGGAGCGCAATGTTTTCAGCGAGGCATTAATTGTTCGTAAATAAATGCAGTTGTTTATAATTTGAAAATATGATAATATGAAAATATGAAAATGCAAAAGTATTAGTATCGTAATAATAACGTAATAATAATAATAATAATAATTTGTTTATTCGTTTTTCTAAATCGATGAGAATGGCTATTATTATAAGGAAAATTTGTCTATTACGAGCGATGTGATTTTACATTCTTGTTAAATGAAATTTATACAATGATTACTACAATTATTATTAATGAAAGGAGCCAAATAATTGCAAGGTGAACAATCGATATAAGCTAATGGATAGTGGAGGTATTAAAGCTTCTCTTAATTAACAAATAATTCGTCTTGGTTGGGTCGAGCGCGAGTCCATGGTCAAGGAAAAGGGCGCTGAGTCGCGAAACTTTATAAAAGTATAAAGATCCGCGAGTGCTGGAAGCTTATGTAGGACGTTTGCATTTTCATAAAATAATCGGGTGCGCGAGTGCGCAATAAAAGAGAAGGAAAGAAAAAGTGTATTTTATGTATCTAAAGTGACATTCAGTGTACCGTGTAGCGCTAGAACAGTGCATCGTTCCTCTACGTCTAATGCGTATGCGAGTTTGTTGTGTTGGGTGGTGTTGGGCTTGTGTGTGAAAAATCAGCTGCTCGATGGCGGCATAAATGCCAGAGTCTCGATATAACGGCGGACATTGACCACCAGCAGCAGCACTTGGAGGATTCAGCATTGGATGCTCGATTATTGGGACGTTGTTAAGTGTTTCGCGTGTCATTATGGCGATAAAATTGATAAATAATAGACATTGCCGTAGACATTGCTGAGCTCGTTCGCTCGTTAAGGAAGTAACGTGTTATAGAGGGATTAGAGGGTTCGGTTTCTGGACGACCGCGTGTTGTTCGATTCGTGGTCAGGTGCGATCGGTGGTTATTCGGGCCCCCGGGGTGCACTGCCTTGGTGGTAATGGCCACTAAAGACAGTGCGAGCGCGACGACGTCGTCGGCGTCGGGGTCAACGGCAACGGCAACGGCAACGGCAACGGCAACGTCCTTAAGGGTGGAGGACGTGACGGTTGAGTCGGGTATCGAGCCCGGGGCCTCGGCCGAGACGATGCTGGTTACGACCGACAGCCTCGAGGAGTTCGAGCAGGAGTTGAGCAGCAGCATCGACGATAGGCAGATGAAGGAGAGTATTACCAGTACTATCTCGGATATCCAGCAGGATCCCGTCGACAGCCCGAAGACGCTGGCTATGAACTTGGAAAAGTCCGCTTCGTTCGACAGCAATGAAATTGTGAGATATCCATCCATTTTTTACCTTATTTGTTAATGCCTTAGGTCGTTGCTGGTTGGATATGACTTTGTAAAGCATCATTATTAATTATAATGGAGGATTATTAATTATAATTTGTAAATACTCGTAGGCTATTGGAGTAGTTAGGCGTGATTTTTTATTGTGGTTGACTAATTATTGTTTATTCCATTATTGTGGATAATAATTAAGTTAAATTTGTTATCGTTGTACGTCTATAGTCTGGATTCGGATTACCGTAGTAATTAGGTGTGCGTTGGGCAGCAGTTATATTTTCTTACTATTGTTAATGTCAAGATCGAGGTGGTCTCGACAGAGTGAAACGCTGTTTTATAGTCAAAATGTTTGAGCTACTGCGTATACCTGTCCCGATATATGCAAATGTCTGACTATTGAGTTGCTATAATTTAGGTTATTGGCTGATAAGAGGATACACATTAGCTTAATTAAGACAAATTAGACTCGTAACTAAATGTAGGAATAATAATTGAATCATTTGCTTGGTTCGACTCGATAATCGAACGTTAATGTTACAGGATGAGCTTTCTCAACAATTTGGACAAAACAGTTTGGATGCCGATCCGCTGAAGTGTAAAGTCTGGCTTGCTCAGAAGAAGCACGTTTTTGTTTTAAGCCAGGCTGGTAAACCAATATACTCTAGATACAGTTCCGAAGACAAACTAGTCACAGTGATGGGAGTTATGCAGGCTCTTGTATCGTTTGTTCAAGCTGGCAACGACATGATCAGATCTGTTCACGCCGGCGATACAAATTTTGTATTCGTTGTAAGAGGGCCGCTCATTCTTGTTAGCGTTTCCAAAACTCTCGAAAGCGTACCTCAGCTTGTGCTCCAGTTAACGTAAGTTTAACAAACAGTGCTAACATTAACAGGGCCTTAAGTATGAAAATTTCTCGATAACAAGACACAACTTTCGACACCGATGTTTCATATAAGTGCTTTCATCATGAAAAATAATCTTTAAAATTTACAGATATGTATATAATCAGATATTATCTGTTTTATCACAATCACAGTTAACAAAAGTGTACGAGCAGAGAAGGAACTTTGATCTGCGACGATTGTTGACGGGCAGCGAAAGATTAATAGATCATTTGTTGAATTTCATGGATCGAGAGCCGGCATTTTTTTTAAGCGCCGTCAAATGTTTACCACTTTTGCCTTCTATGAGAGATGCAATAACACAGACGATTGTACAAACTTGTAGTAAAATAAAGGTGCCGATATAAATTGATATAAATTGTCAAGAGCCCTAAAGAGCGGTTGAATTGATTTTAACGATATTAAAACTATTGTTTTCAGAATTTAGTCTTCGCAATACTCTTAGCTAATAATCAGTTAATCACATTGGTTAGAATGAAGAAATTTTGTAAATTTATTTTAACGATATTAAAACTATTGTTTTCAGAATTTAGTCTTCGCAATACTCTTAGCTAATAATCAGTTAATCACATTGGTTAGAATGAAGAAATTTTGTATACACCCAGCCGATCTTCACTTGATCCAGAATTTGGTGGATAGTTCGGAATCGTTTAAAACTGCCGAAAGCTGGACTCCTATATGTTTACCAAAATTTGATTCAAATGGCTTCATGTATAGTCACGTATCGTATTTAGCAGAGGACTGCCAAGCTTGTCTATTATTATTAACGGTTGATAGGGATGTATTTTTTACGCTCTCCGAGGCCAAGCAGGTAATTTTCCTTTGAAATATGACGAATTTCGCGAAGCCCCGCTTCTGATTAATATTCACGAGGGATTGATGTTTAGAAAATCGTGGAAAAATTAAGACGTACCAATTGCCTCGAGGCAATTAACGAGTCCATGAATAAGGCTTCTATAACGATTGCTGAAATTGGATTGTCCGAAATGCGGCACGTTCTGTATAAATGTAAGAGTACCGCGCAATTTTGGAGTCCAGGCTTCCAGCCTCCGTATACCACGGATGAAGAAATCCAAAGGTAATCATTATCCGTTATTATTATTTATCAAAAAAGTGCCCGTAAAACCGTGGATATTTAAGTATCTGTATTTGTCGTAGGCTGCTTGGATGCTATCAATGTTTGCATCACAGATTACATTCACCCAGTCGACCTTTGAAATTGATATTTCAACAGTTGGACAAGGAAACGATGCTGGCATGGGTAAGATAATATCTCACAATATTGTCAAATCTCAAATTATCCCATTACTCATGAATTCCCATCTGGTCCTTTCTAACAATCGTTTTTTGTAGGTTACATCTGGTTTTGAATTATACGTAACATTTGAACCTTTAATAACAAAAACAGATGCAATTAATTCAATAGGCAAACTTTTGAAATGGATAAAAAAGGAGGAGGAAAGATTATTTATCCTAAATTCACCTACATTTTAAGCCTAGAATTACGTGACTCGATTCATCTTCATTGAAAATAAATATTTTTTTAATTGTTTGATATAGCGATGTTAGATAAGAGGGCTATTGCCTGTTTTTTAACTGTCAAATATATTTTTTCATTTTGAGATATAAATAGTATAAAAGTATATTTTAATAAAATGGATCTCGGAGTGCATTCCTCTGTATAACATTTGTTCTCTAGAAACGTTATTTCTGATATTGTTAAGAAACGGAAATAGATTGATGATCACGCATATGTATTATATGAAATGTAGTGTGTAAAAAATTGTTCAAGGATGAATTTTTTGAAATATTAATTTTTAAGCTGAACCGATGTATGGCAATTGTTATATTGTAAATAAGTACTGAGAAAAACATTAATGTATTCATTAAAACTAAAATTAAAATTAAAATTAAAATTGTTTGACTAAAAATATAGTGTCATTGTTTAATAAAAATTTTATTTAAATTAATATTTAAGATAAAAATATGACTAAAGTCTATGAGTTTTATGTATAGTTTTTTTCTCTCTTTTTTTTTAAATTACTTTAAATATTTTACAAGTAATTATCTTAATGCCTAAGCCTATCGCGATCTCGTCTTCTTTCTCTTTCTCTATCCCTGTCTCGATCTCTATCCCTACGGTCCTTGTATCTTTCCTTTTCTCTTTTTCTCTCTCTATCCCGCCTATCGCGATCCCTAGATCGGGATCTGCTTCTCGAGCGCAGCCTTTCCTTTTTGTCAGAACGCGAATGCCTCTTGTCCCGATCCCTATATCGATCTCTGTCTCTGTCGTAATCATCCGCTCTTGGACGTTCGATCGGCGAAGGTATCTCTTCTTCTTCCGAACTCTCTAGATTATCATCCATATCGTCCTCCAAGGCCGATATTTTAGCCTCTGAAAATACAAAGTTATTACAAATGATTTTATTAAGACGAATATGTGGAGTAGAGGGAGACAAAATGTAATCTTAAAATATATATGCCATTACCAAGTTCGTTATTTTCTTCGAGTACATATCTTTTTTGTATCCTAGGCAATATAATATCACACGTTCTCTCTTCCCTCAATAGATCGTCGATAAACTCATCCATATGAACCAATTCGAATTGGCCTTGTCTGTTTTGCTTCCTTAATTTACGGTAATCGTTTAAAAGCGGCTCCAAATATCTATAACAATCCAGGGATGTTCCTGTTAGGCGCATATAAAATGCACCTAAGGCTCTAACATACTTGAATTCCTCATTTTTGATGAATTCGACAATAATATCCTTCTCAGGCTGAATCTGAAGCATTTTTAATACCAAGCATAAGAATGGCGTTGGCTTGATATTTCCACCAAATACGCCGCCTAAAAATCTGTAACAAAATACCTTGGCCTAAGTATGCTTAAAGAAATCTAAAATTACAAGAAGAATAATATGTACCTTAATTCCATAGCCTTATCAACGAGAAGTTCCGCGGTGAGGGCAAAGCATTCTTCTTTCCAATATTTACTATCGTAAATTCTCGACCTAATAATTTTCTCCACGAGATACTGAGGGTTCGTTCCCCTTATCGACTTCGCATCTTTAACCGTGCGATTCGCCATTGTCTTTTACAAACCTTAGCCAACAGTTCGCTAGTTGAAATAATTTTTTATACTTCCTTTTTAACTCGTAGCCATTGTAATGATAAAATTTAAAGGTTAATCTCTCTTAACCTCACTCTCTAATCTTGTGTTATGAGAAAGAAGCTGCGGCAATATATTGCGGATAAAGGCCGAATCGGCCTTACACGTAATTCCTAGTCCAATTTTACCCAACAAAATTGTTGATAAGTTCATGCGAATCTGACGAAGGTGATATAGTTTGCACTAATTTCGCCAGCTGCCTACGTGATTTACCTATCACTATTATTATTTTATTTTGGGAGCCACATTTGGCGCGAAGAGCATTAGTGATCACGTTTCAAACAATAGGCGTCACTCAAAAACGGTTAAGTGTCGGCAATTATAAATTGAGTAAGTTCATCTGTGATAATTAAATAATAGCTGTGTTTAGGGCAAAAAAATTTAGCGACAATTGTTATTGAATCGTTGGGTGAAGCGGCAATAACCGTTAAGGTTATATCGAATGCCATTATATTAAGGACATCCTCGACGTTATATTTCATTTCATTATTTATTGCACAATATATTATAATGCAGAGTTATTTACCATCGCCTACATAATTTTTCTCTTTATAAATTATTATTGTCGTACATACGCAACGCTCTAAGCGTCAAGTTGATACACATTGTAAAAAATTTCAATTATTTTTAATTGGATGATTTTGTGTCCGAGCTGGTAATAGCTGTTTGGTAATTAATTTATTTTCTAGATTCTTTTAGCAATATGGAAGAAGCAATAGCAGCTCGATTGAAGCCCTTTGTTATCAGTAGTAATGATGCTTTGGAATTCAAATTCATTCGAAAGGTGGAGGACTTGGAAGACGATAGTACGACATTTAAACCAGATATGTCTCATCAAGTGTTTGGAGATTGGTAAGAGTACGGGAGATTTGCAAAACGATTGTATTTGCCAATTAAATATTTATATGTAAATAAATTATTTTTAGCGAAACATTATTTGGCTACAAAGATCTGAATGTAAAACTTTATTATACAGCTGGTTCATTAGAAACGTATCTGGGTATGACTTATTCTGAGAAAGTGAACAAATTGATTTGCGAGGATGTTGAGCCTGATGAAGTTTTGCAAAAAATATCGGAAAAACTTGCCCCTAATGTACATGAAAATATCGATACGTTTGTCAAATCTCTGTCAAAAGATGAGAATTTTAAGCCAGCTGGGGAATTAATATATTCCTTTTCAATCGATGGTAAATTTTAATATCAATTTGTAAGCGCGCGCGCATGCATGCGTGTGCGTATATACGCTTGCGTGCAAATACGATAGACTTCTCTTACCGTACTCGATGCACCTTGGAAATCAATTGCGCATCTATACATACGCTGTATAAGTGTGTATACATACGCTTGTAGTACACGCACGCACGCACAAGCGCAAACCAACGCACACGCGTACAGTTAGCGCGCGCGCGCATATATGCCCCCATTTGCATGCATTCACGTGCACGCATGCTTACGTATATGAGAATAAATATTTATTTATTTATACAACGTAAGAAATAATTGTTCTATTGTACCGTACAGATAATTTTCAAATAAGAACTTTTGAAGTATATAAGGCCGATATGAGTTATAAAAATTTTAAAGAATATCATCTGCGTTTACAAACCTTTCTTTTGTGGCATGTCGATGCTGCAAATTTCATTGATATCGACGATGATCAATGGCATTATTTTAACATGTAAGTTTTCATGCTTGTCGACGTTTAATAATATAAACGAACTCTTAAGCATTTAATAAATTAATTGACAATGTTTTTAAAAATATCCAGGTTTGAAAGATATAAAACGGAAGGCGATTCTGTGCGATACGCAACAATTGGCTTTGCAACTGTTTATCAGTATTATGCTTATCCTCACCATACAAGACCTCGTATTTCTCAGGTTTTAGTGTTACCACCTTTTCAAAATATTGGACTTGGTAGTCATTTATTGAGAGCTATTTATCGTGAATATATTAATCGTAAGGAAGTAAAAGACATCACAGGTAATGTAAAAAAAAAAAAAAAAAAAAAAAAAAAAAAAAAAAAAAAAAGAAACCCAACGAAAATTATTTGCTTATCGATTTTCTGACAAAGTTGTTTAAAAAGCAAAATTACCAACAGAGAGCATCGAAAAAAACCTTTTCTACCCCCCCCCCCCCCCCACAAC